CAGTTTTACACACACTGATCAGTTAATAAGAGCTTAACAGAGTAACAGACAAGAAATCATGTAGAGCGCACAATACAATTACATTTCATCAGACTGTACCCTTCCATGCATTGTCCATGCTGAACTATAATAATCTTTTTTGAGTTTTAGTTTTATAAATATAATACACTCTCCTTAGGAGTATCATAGTACTTGTTGGTGTGTTATAACTGAGTTATCTTTCTACAAGTTACACCAATAAGATCCAGAAGGAACAAAGGGCCTCAGTGTCAGAACTTGAAGTTTTAAAACAGCAGACTGGAAAAAAAAATTAGAAAGGCACAAATAGAACCTTCCACTAATGGCATAAAAGTTTTGATCTGGGGATCCACACTGAAGCCAGACAGAAGGCATAGGAGATAGGAAACCCATAGTGGATCACATGAAAAATTTCTATTTACCCAGTAGTCATGTCTTAGGGTGACAGATGGACCATGGTAGAGGAATACATGATATGCATGTGTACCTCTCTTGCATGTGCACCTCTCTTGCATGTGTACCTCTCTTGAGATCATCCCCAAATAAAGGGGATCTCCAATCTGTGAAGGTGAACTCTAGCTTCATTCTGGGGCCACCATAATGCTAGGGCCAACTTTCTGACTAAGGTCAGGTAAGATGAGCAAACAAGACAACTAGAGAGAGAGAATTGTGAATCCAAAACTGAATAGTGACAGAGTGATGGGAGCTCACCTGAAGAGATGGAAAACCTACATATTTAGTAGTTTTCCAGCCTAGGAAATTTAGCTGAGATAGGAGACTGGAAGCCAATAATCACAGGAAATGGATCTTAAGAGACAGGTAGTGGAACACTTAGGAAGGTGTCTTCACAATATGTAAAGATTTGCCCTGCATTAGCCACTGTTGCCAACTGTGCTGTGTACAGAAAGCAAGGGTACTGAAAGAACAAAGGCCTCTTCTCACTATGTAAAGCATGAGAACTTTATCTATGAGAAAGATATGTCTATCCAATAAAACAAATAGAGAGCACATATATTACTTATCTCCTAGTTGTAATCATGGTTTTAAAAATGCATATTATAAGGACAGCCAGATAGTTCAGCAGACTAAAGCATGTGTTTAGGCAGGTGCAGGGTCTGGGGTTCAATTCCCCCCCCCACCGCCAAGCTGGCCCTACCTCTAGGGCGCACTGAGACTGTGGCTGATCCTGGGCATGGTGGTGCACACTTGTAATCCCAGGGCTTGGAAGGCTGAAAACAGAAGGATCACTATGAGTCTGATCTGTGTAGTGAGACCTTGTAGACCCTGTACTAAATACACTTTTAAATGCATATTATAAATAGAGGGGAAAAAAGATAAACACACCTCAATCTCTTACATGCTATCAGTCTTGGATGTTGGTGGTGATATAGGGGAAAGAAACTCCCAATCTGCTAGAAATATGGTACAAGTTTGTGTTCCTTACAATTGAAGAATGAATTCTAGGAACAATGGAGGTTAAGTACAGAATATATTTATTGGGAGAAGAAAGCTTCTATCTGAGAGAGAGACATAACGGGTCCCTAGTAGGTTTCTGAGATCCCTTCCATTTCAAGGGATTTTTATAGAACAAAATCAAGAGGCAAGGTGGGTCCAAGTCAAGGGAAAATGGGAAATAGCTAGGTGGGCAAGAAGTTGACCATGGTCCAGCTTCCCAAAGAGCCTGGAGCATAGTTGGCCTTTCTCCAATAAGAACTGTCTTAGAAACACAAATGATAGGGCAGAAAGGATCAGCTATATTTAGCGAACTGTAAGCAGTAAGATGTTCTGAATAGGAAATAGAGAATACATGTCCACTTTCTCTGTGAAAGCGACTAGAGTGGCATCCACCTCAGGGGTAATTCCCCATAGGAGAATGGACAAGATGCCTCCCCAGGCAGAGTGGGCTTTGTGAATAACTGCAGTTTCCAGTGTGAATTATTGGCCTGGATCCTGTGTTACTCTGTGTGCAGGGACAGGGAAGTGAAGGTCCAGCTTTCCAAAGGGCCTGATATTGATTAAATGAGAAAAATAGTCTGATATTGATTAAATGGGAAAGATAATCATGCAGCCAAGTGGACATGAAACAGAACAGTGTTTATTCTGGAGGGGGTGGGTTAGTGATTATTCTGGGCTTCCCAAGGTGATTGATACCTAAATAAAGTATAAATCACTGTCCTTTACTCTTAGGGGAATTGTGTGGGTATATTTCTTTCACCCTTCCTCTTGAGATCTGGCACTAGATGGTGTGTCTGTGTCTATACCACAATTGCAATGTATCTCATCTTCTGCAGTTTCTTTCAAGGGCCTGGCCTTGTCTGACTACCAACAATCTTACTTTTTTAAAATTTTTATTTATTTATTTATTTGGTACAGAGTCTCACTATGAAGCTCAGATTCATAGGGATCTTCTTGTCTCAATCTGCCCAGTGCTGAGATTTCAGGCATGTACCACCACGCCCAGTCTTGGTGGCTGACACAGCATGCTTGGGTTCGAAGGCTGGCATGGCATGTGGCACGGGGGATGGAACCCAGGTCCTTGCCCTTGCCAGACAGGTACTTAGGCTGCTGGGCAGTAATTGTAATTACTTACAATATTTCTAACTCAGCTGTATATGACATTGAGACATCCAAATATTGAACAATTAATTCTTCACCAATCAGGTAAACTTGAGCCCCTTGTCTCATTAAGTCAAAGAAGGAAATCATGAGCAAAAGGAAGAAGTTGAAAGAGTGTTTATTAAAAGTAAGAAGAGAACTAACTCCTAGTTCGCATTCAGGAGTGAACTACAGAAGTGAAGTTTCCCATGTGCTTTCTTTGCCTTAGACTTATGTAAATAAGCAGAATGTGGGCCTTATTGTAGTATAGTGTTGAATAAAGTCAGTTACTTAGCAGCCCAAGTTCAAAGGAAATGAACTAAAAGGAGACTGATTATTTTTTTCATTTTTAGTGTTCCTTAAAGTCCAGCCCAGAAGTAGAGAGGATTTGTCACCTAGCTTAGCATGGTGCCTAAGAAACTTCTCAGGAAAGCTCCTTATCATCCTATTATTCTAACGTTTTATCCTTTCTCCTGTGCTTGGTTTTGTATTGCTAAGTTTAGATGCTAATTCAGTGTAAATGCTACTTCCTTTGTATCTAGCTGACTTTATGCTGGGTCCATCCCTTTTACAATAGTGCTGCCAAAACATGGGATTGTAGATGAGTTTTCAATATATACTGATTTCCTTTAGATACAGTAAGTCCCCACTTACGAACATTGGAGTTGCATACTTTCACAGGTATGAATACACCATGCTTTACAAACATTAATAGATACAAATGACAGAAGTAGCTCACATGTCTGCTAGATATTGTCACGGTCGTGTTGCTGTGTGCCTACTGTATAGTGTGATCATGTGCAATAGCATCATGTTCCATCAAAGTCTAGGATGTCTACAAGAAAGAGGAAAAGCAGTGTTGATGTTGAGGGGAGTATTAGGAAACACAAAGCATTTTTATTGTATATTTGTGTCAAAAGGGTTTAAGACTCACCTTGTCAGACTTATGAAAAAATCCTACTTATGAACATTCTCCAGGAACAGAACTCATTTGTAAGTTGGGAACTTACTGTATATACCTGTTAGTAGGATTCTTGTGTCACATGGAAGTTCTATTTTTAATTTGTTATCAGCACTGGAGGTCATTATAACTCTGCACACAGTTATAAGAGATAGTACAAAGAGGTCACATGTATCATTACTCTGTTCCCCAGTGGTAACATGTTGCAAAGATGGAGTATGATAACAGCACTAAGATACTGACACTGATGTGATTTATCAATTTTATTCAGATTTTCAGGTTTTGTTGGTACTTATTTGTGAGTGTGTACACAGGTTTTGTGTATATTTAGTTATATGTGATTTTATAATTTGCATGAGTTGCATATATTTTCTACCACAATGAAAATACGGGGCAGTTCCATCACCATACATATCCTTCAGGTTGACCTGATTAACCACAAGCCCTGTCTCTTACTGCCTTCCTTCCTAACCCCTAGCAATCACTAACCTGTTCTCCATTTCTGCAATTTTGTCATTTCAAGAATGTTATGTAAACAGAACCCATTGCAACTGGTTTTCTTCATTAAGAGTAATTCTCTAGAGATTCATCAAAGTTTTTGCATGTATCAGTAGTCTTCTTGCTTTTCATTGCTGCTTAGTAGCTCATGGTATGGATGTACCATAGTTTGTTTAACCATTCATCTGTTAAAGGATATTTAGATTGTTTGTAGTATTTTTGTTATTACAAATGACACTAATATAAATATATATTAGCATCCAAATTTTACGTGAACATAATTTTTAATTATCTAAAATTAATTTTCAAGTACAAATTCTAGATTTTCTTAGTAGTTACATGTTTAGTCTTATAAGAAACCTTTTATAGTGGTTATACCATTTTATATCCCCACAAACAATGCTGAAGTGAACCAGTTTCTCCAAATGAATTTTGATGCAGATTATCAATACTGCCTTCAATTTACCTTTTGGCTGGAAGCCCATTGTGAATCATATATGACTCCCTACTCTTTCCTTCTTGGTCACTTAGAAAAGCATTGAGATATCACACAGGAAGAAATGACTTTCTGAGACTATTTTCAGTAGCATCATTATTCCTGCCTCATACTTTATGGTATATCTGGGCCAGTCCTCAATGTATTATAGACACTCGATATCAATTGATTGATAAAATAGGTGTTATATATCACTTTTCAGATTCCTTTTCTTTTCGTGTGGAAACTTACTTGGAAATTGCTTAGTAGAGCTTTCCCATCTTTCTTTTTCATGACTAAGTCATCTTAAACAAGTACAAAAGCACATAGTTGAATGGGAGTGGATCATCACACTTAAGCCATCAAATAAATATTTCAAATTCAAATGCTGATTTTAAAAATACTAAGTCAGGCATTCCTACATTTTCTTTTCACCTGTCTCTTCTTGGCAAGGTGGAATTTGCTCCTGATATTGGCCTTCAATACAAAGGAGAGCTGACTGTTGTTTTACGATACATTCCCCCAGAGGAAAGTGTCACACTTCCACTAGGACAACTTCAAGGTAGAGTAAACTTTATGACATTGATCAATGACACCTAATTCTATGAGCATGAGAGTAGCTATTATGGATTGATTGGGCTAAATATTACTTTTGCACTAAAAAGAAGAAATATAAAGGACTAGGGGTCATCGTCTTTTAAGGAGAGTTGAAATATATATATATATATATATATATATATATATATATATATATATATTGCATAGATAGAAGAGTATGGGTTTTATACAAGGAAAGGAAGGCAAAAATTCATGTCTTAGATATCATTCTTGCTGGGGAGATAGCTCAGCAGCAGAAGCGCTTGCCTGGCAAGCTCAAGGTCATGAGTTCAATCCCCAGTACCAAAAAAATAATCGTTCTTTCTGCTAAAGTTTTTCTATCAGTCTCAGAGATACAAAATCCTTCACAAGGTGGGAGATATTCTGGGGCAGGTGTAGGAAGTGGCTGTATGGATTTATGTTACTTATAGCCACTCAAGGATTCTTGATGAAAAGCTGGTATAGAACATAGAATTCCTAAGAAAAATCCAGATGGGATCAGCCTTTAAATCCTTCCTTACCTTTCATCAACTCCCCCAAGTAGCCTCCTTTATGCTCCCATCCTGATCACTGTCATTAGTGTGCAGTAACTGTACTGTCACCTGGCCTGTTTCCTCACTCCAAAGAGTTGCTGTGAGGGGGAAATAGGTTCATATATGTAAGATCCCTTAAAAAGTAGTTAGTAAAGGTGGTGGATACTGTGCCAAATGGTCGTATTTCACCAGAATAACAGTCAGGTAGGAAAGAGTTTTCTCTCACCTTGAGTTCTCACTCTGTCTGAAGTTGACAATTTACAAGAGGGAGTTACAGAATTTTCTCTTTGGAGTCCTTTCATGGGTTGTGCCTGGCTTTCCTTTTTTTTTTGGCCTGGGGATTGAACTCAGGACCTTATGCTTGCCAGGCAGGCACTTATGCCACTGAACTACATCCCCAGCCCCATGTGTGGCTTTCATCATAGCTATTTCTCACTAAGAGCTACACAGGTGGCCCAGACAGCATTCACGGTCTTTTAGACCCTGTGAAAGACTTATTTTATAGCAGAATTGTTAGAATTTTAAGTTTATTTGCCTATTTTTATCAACAAACACAAACGAAAAACTTATCTAGGAGGAATCCAGCAGTGGCAAAAACAATTAAATGAATATGAAATATATAATCATGTAAAGGTCTGGTTCAATCAGCAAATAAAGAAATTTTTGCAGATGTACTTTGTAAATTTTGGTTTTTTCTGTTTTGTTTTGTTTTGTTTTGGTGGAACTGGGGATTGAACTCAGGCCCCTGGGCTTACTAGGCAAGCACTTATTGCACTGAGCCATCTCCCCAACCCTGTGCTTTGTAAATTTTAAAGAAGAAATTATAACATGAATACTCTCATTCTCTCTCTCATCTCTCTCATTTTGATGGCTGATACAGGAAAAAAAGCTTCTAAAAAGGGAAAGAAAAAGGATTCACTTGTAATCTCTGGAGGAATACTAGAAGTGTTCATCAAAGAAGCAAAGAATTTGACAGCAGTAAAATCAGGAGGCACTTCTGACAGCTTTGTGAAGGGGTAATTTAATTTTATCTCATTTTGGATGATGCTTATTGGGAAATGAAAGGATCTATGATCCATGAGGTAGTGGTGGCTGTGAGGCCTCCATGTTCAGCTCATTGGAAATGTACTGGGAAAGAGCAGCCCTTAAGTGAAGACTCTTACATCTCAAGCATTACCCACATTATTCATGTAGAAGGCACTGCTTATTGTATCTTATGCTGCATTCCTAGCATATTTTGTGAGTGCCTATCACACTCAAGATTGCCATAGTTTCCCAGGAGAGTCATTTTTCAAAGGAGGAGAAAGGATGATTTTCTAAATGCAATGTACCTGCATTATGTTTTGTTATCATTTGGCTTTGCCAATATGGAAAGACAATCAAAATATAGGATACTTGCCGTTTTGCTCTCTTGAAGGAAACTGAAAAGTAAAGGAATCAGAATATTTGTCTTGAAGATATTCACTAGAGAGTGCTTTGGGAAGGCTCCAGGGCTGCCTGCTGGGCATTTGTTTCACTTTGTGAAACCACAGGCATCTTCCTGAGGGACTACAGTCCTTTAAAGGGAGCCTCATGTTCATTTTAGGAAGCTCAGAAATCAAATCCCTGTTGATTTACTGGAAATGAGATTTTTTTTTCTCTTGGAATTAAGGAAACTAGGAGTGAACAGACATTTGTTTTCATTCGTTCAAACAGGCAAATGCATACATACCAAGTATCAGATGCTGCACTTGCGAAACTAAATAAGGCGTAATACTGGGGCTCACAGAGCTGACAGGGAACATGATGTAAAGCAAGTTTCCATGATTCTAGTCCAGGAAGTGAATTTCTGAGTTAATTTATTACTGAATTTTAGGGTGCTGAAGTCTGCTTCTGCAGGTAGATTCTCTCTATTCTGAGCAAAAAAAAAATGATCAAGCAAGCACAAAAGGTAGTGAAGTTTTACACCTATTAAAGATAAGAAAAGACTCATGCACTACAGAGTAAGTCTGGGCCAAGTAAAAGTAAGAAAAGTATACTCTACAAAACGAGGATGTACTACTCTGAAAGTACACAGTAGCCCTGAGCTCAACAGAGACTATCTTTTAGTATCTCCCACTTCTCAGGCTGATGTCCAAAACTGCTTAAATTCTCTGGAGAAGTCCATGTGCAGAGCTTTGGGAACTGCCCCATGCATGAATGAAGGAACTTTGCAATTAACAGGTCACCCGCACTTTCCCCAGCCAGCCTGCCACATCTTAATATATCCTAATCTCTTCCTCAAAGATACGGTTGTTTCCTTATGCAAGCCACCATAAAAAAGTGCATTTTTCTTACAAGAAAACAAGCTGTCCTTAGTCTCAGATGCTTTAACTTTGGTAAAGCCAACAAAAAGAAGCAGATATCTAGGGCATTCACATTGGTAAATGTGTGTCCTTGAATTCTTGTCCATCTGGTCTTCAGTTTGTGGATGAGAGGCTGGCTTCTGGCCTGTGATCTCATTATGGCCTTAAAGGAGTGACTCTTCTTTTCAGAAACAGTGTTATCTTTTTTTCTTATTTTTTTCTTATTTTTTATTTTTATTTTTTTATTTTATTATTTTTTCTTATTGAGAATCTGTACAGCACAAAGAATAAAGGACAGTATCTTTGCCTAACTTTCCAATAAATTATCTCTTTACTTATATTGAAACATTCAGCTGATTTTGAAGTATCTGAGATATTTTTTTAAAAAGGAGTGGGAAAGCAACAATAGCCCTGTATGAAAAGTTTAATATAAAACACACAAAATACATAATTACATAACTACCTAATTGCATCAGCCCTTTCTATCAGCTACAATAACAGTGGTCTCAAAAGACTAAAGCTCTTATTGTTGCACTCAGGGTTGAATCCAGAGCTCTCACACTATGCTACATCTTCAAATTTTTTTTACTTTTTATTTTGACACAGGAACTTGCTAAGTCACTAACTTGCCCAAGCTGGGCTTGAACTTGTGACCCTCTTTCTTTAACCTCTTACTTTTTAAAATCTCTTACATGTAAACAAAGCCTTAAGGTATGGAAGCATCATGCTCAGAAACAAAGGTTTCCTCTAGCTAATTATGGTATCTACCTCATGGGCTGGGATAGCTGCTCAGATTTCAGCTATCCCTCCCAAATTCCAGGTGGGAAGGAATTTTTTCATAAAATTTGTACTGAACTAGTTTGACCCCACTCATTAGAACTTAGTCATACAGCTCTACTAGTTGTAAGGAAGGCTAGGCAAAGGTAGCCTTTATTCTGAACAACCTTGTGCCCACAATTTAAAATAGGTAGCTTGTAATAAGGAAAAGAAGCAGAAATGGATGTTGGGAGATTATAAGTATTTGTACATGGTGCATGACATGAAATCTCATGTGGCCTAGTATATCTTCTTCATTGTAAAGTCACTTGCTTGCAATATTTTTCATTATTGCCTGAGGTTCTGAATATATATATATCACTCCTTCCCTAAAGCTAGTTCCTTGCAGGGGAAAAAGAGCAGTATTTGTGATCAGGAATTATGAGAAAGTTAAATGATTTCTGAACAATGGCATTTTCTGCCTATTGTCTCACTAATTTTGTTTGATTGTGCTTATTTTTCTGCAGCTACCTTCTCCCTGATGATAGCAAAGCCACCAAGCACAAAACTGTGGTCATAAAAAAGAGTGTGAATCCTCAGTGGAATCATACTTTCATGTTCAGTGGGCTGTATCCCCAAGATATAAACAATGTTTGTCTGGAGCTTACCGTCTGGGACAAGGAGGCCTTTGCTAGCAACATCTTTCTAGGAGGAGTTCGTTTGAATTGCGGAAGTGGTGAGGAACTTGGAGACTCTGAGATGGTCTGTTCTGGGCATAGGGCAAGGGCATGATTCCTTCAGATGTCAGGTGTAGTAGATGTCTATACAGTTTCTGCTATAACTGATTCCTGAGATTATCATAGATAGTCCATTCCCTTAGTGAAAGATCTGTTCATTATTAAACTATAAATATTACTACTGTAACTTTGTATCTTTAAGTTAGAAGCTTAAGAAGTATATTGTTTCTATTTGGTCCTTCCTCACACACCCCTAAATTTACACTTTAAGTGAATTTCAAGTACTTTTTCTAGCTTTTCAGGTTTTGTCAGAAAAGGAATACCAAGGTAACACATCCTTCTGATAGGGGAGAGAGGGCTTTCCAAGACCAACTTTACCTAATTAACTTCTTGGTTCTGATTTTCATGTACAGTCATTATTTACACTGGCTGAACTGACATGGAATCCATTTTTTCTTTAAAATATACCTAGTGTTTTTCACACAGGTCATGGGAACACATCATCAATAATAAAAGTCACAGGTATAGCAGGTAAAAGCAGGGTGTAGTAATCAAGAACATGAAAAGTAGGAGAGGCACATGCAGTCCTCCAAACATGCTTAGGCCAGATATAGAGGGTCTGTATGTATCATGGTTATGTTGAGAAAGTCGCCACTCCTGTAATGCTTCATCTACTTATAGACAAAGGAAAGCCAAGGAGATCTGTACCACTGAAAGTAAAATTTTTCAGGTCAGTAAATTAACCATGTTTAGAGAACCTCAGATCCAATGTCATCCTGTTTTTCTGTCATATTATCTTGATCTAAATGATCCAGCGCTATTTTGTACTACCAAAGTGGGGAAGAATTAGCTACGAATTTTCTAGGCAGAAGAAAGTAGTACAGGCTGCAAATGATTGATTTCCTAGTATCATGTAGTAGATATAGGAAGTGAGAACAAGCCAATGAGGAGAACTCTGTCCTCATTAACAGACCTCCCCAAAAATTGATAAATCACTTCCAAAACATCAAAGTACCTCACTTGTTAAGTGTACCACTCTGCTTTCTCTTCTTCAGGTGTAAGTCTTGGAAAAGCTGTGGATTGGATGGACTCTCAGGGGGAAGAGCAACGACTTTGGCAGAAGATGGCTGAAAATCCTGGAACTCCCATAGAGGGAATACTTATGCTCCGGTCCAGCATGGGGAAGTGTAGGCTCTGAAGAGACAAGTTCTTTAGGATTGAGGCCTCTAGGAATTGTCAGGCTCACATTTCTAAGGAATAGCGGGATGAGACTTTGGATTCTGCTTCCCTGCCATTTTTCACCTAGGGGCATTGGGACTTTAGGGACCATATGATAGTGGTGTGAACATTTAGAGTCTTCTTGCCACATTCCTAAAAACACCAAGTACTTTTCCTTTCTGAATGTGACAGTATATAGATGTAAGGCCAGGACTCTGGGAGGCTGAGGCAAAAAGACTGCAAGTTTGAGTCCATAAAGTGACTTAACAAGACCCTGTCTCAAAAAATAAAAGGGTCTGGTTATATAGCTCTGTGCATAGGCCCTGAGTTCAATCCTCAGCACCCCACCAAACAAAAGAGTGCTTCTGTATGTCTATGGACTTCTCAGTCTCTTTATACTTCCTCAAACAATTTGAGGACAATGGATACCACCACAAAGTAGAAATCCCTGTTATCCATAGAAGGCATGATAAGGATAGTTGCTGGGGTGACAGGCTGGTCCTGTGTTGGGAACAAACTTGGGGATTGATCAGGTGAGGTTCCAAGATAGATCAACAGGGCTTATTTGTGACTATAATTTGTTTTCTAAATCAAGCTACTTTTGAGAGTAAAAGAGGCTAACTAATTACATCCTAACAATGATGTAAATTAGTAAAATGACCTGGGAAAATCAGCATGTAGGATCATCCTACTAAAAGAACTCTATTATAAACCCTTATTTTATAAAATATCTAAGCCATTAAATACACAATAATAAGAAGTAATGGTCAACATATCATTCACTGAAGAGACTAGTTGCATTTAAAAGGAGACACTCTACCTGCTGCTTTATTCCTCTTCTCTGTTGGACCTCACCCTTTCATTTCTTTCCCTGAGTTCTTGTTGCCTTTGTTGCAGTGGTTAGCAATTGCCATACTAACGCTGAATAATAAACCACTCCAAATATTGTGACTTAGAATGGTAATCTTTCTTCTCCTGGTTATGAACATTGGGGAGGGCAGCTCTGCTTCCTACCACAGGTCAGAGAGTCTAGGTCAGCTGTTCATGTCCCATGATCCTCTGTAGAGCAAAGGAATAGCCAGAGGGTGGGGATAGCACAGGTGCAACAGGTTCAGTGCTGCTGCTGCTCAAGTGTATTTAGAGTCCCTAATTTTGTCATGTCCTGTTGGTCAAATCCATAGGCTCAGACCCACAATCAGGAAGAAAACAAAAATCAAAGCCATGACAAGAGTGAAGATATCAGAAGCCACAAGAATAAGAGTAAAGAATTGAGACCTGCTATCACCATTTCTATTTAACATGGTACTCAAAACATTAGCCAGAGTGATCACACAAGAGAAAGATAAAGGACACATGGAGGAAAGGAGAACTCAAATTATAATTAATTGCAGATGACATGGCACTCTACATAGAAAACACAAAAAGAGTCTACCCAAAACTCTTGGAATCAATACCAGTTTCATCAGGGTAACAACACAAAATCAACATGAAATACCCAATAGAATTGGGCCAGGATATAGATCAGCAGCACAGCAGCTGCCTGGCAAGCAGGAGGTTGTAAGTTTGATTTCCTGTACCAGCAAAACCCCCAAAACAAACAAACAAACAAACAACAGACTTTGAGTACACCCATAATGAACTCAATCAGAGGGAATTATTACCATCACAGGAGCACCTCATAGAAGGCAGGTGATAAAGGGCACCTCTGGGGACCTGTTGAGCCCTACCCTGCCCTCCCACTGCCCTTAGTGCCTTGCTCACCCACTCCCCTACCACTTACCATCACTACTAAGTCATCTTGAACATTAGGAGTTTTGAAAATGTCAAAATGAAGGAGCAAAATGCAATCTCAGATATCCAGCCCATCCAGAACAAGTCCAGGAGACATGGTCTTTTATAAGAACTTCAAAGGCACACACCTGAAATTTCTGAAATGATAGCAATTGAAGTAGATACAACTCCATCAGTCTATAGAAGAAGTCATACTGAAATAATCTCACAGGTTAAAAAAATATGGCAACAATCATAAAAGAAGTGCTCAGCACATCTCAAGAGAGGGAATTACTTTTTAAAAAATACTATTCATGGTAGTGTCAAGAAAAATGAAATAACTAGGCATTAACCTAACCAAGGAAGTAAAAGCCTTCTACAAAGAAAACTATATTACTCTGTAAAAGATTGAAGAGGACATGAGAGAATAGATAAATGTCCCAAGTTCCTACATAGACAGAATCAATATAGTCAAAATAGCCATAATCACAAAACTGTCACACAGACTGAGTATAACCAATAGCATTCATACAAGAGCCACAGAATACAATGCTAAGCTTCATATAGAATGAAGAACAGATCCAGAATACAGAAAGCAGTGTTGGGTAACAAGAGCAAAGCAAAGGGAATCAGGTTACCTGACCTCAACCTATACATCAAATAGTAATAAATATGGCATGGTAGTAGAATAGACATGTGGATCAGTGGAACAAAATAGAGGATACAGAAATATCCCAGACACACTTAGCTATTTGACCTTTCACAAGGGGATCCAAAGCATACATTAGGGGAAGGATATTCTATTCAACAAATGGTAGTGGGAAAACCGTATATCTTGTTTGCAAAAGTTTGAAACTTGACCCAATCTCTGATCATGTAGCAAACTAAAATCAAAATGTCTAATAATTGAAACATTAAAACAGAAGCATTGAACCTACTGGAAGATAAAGTAAGTAAAACACTTGAATCCATATGTCTTACTTTTCACTCCTTTCTGGCTGCTGGGACAAATGCCTGACCCTCAAAATTAAAGAAGGAAAGGTTTATTTAGCTCACAGTTGTGGAGGTTTCAGTCATACTCTGCTGGTTCCAGGGCAAAAGGCAGCAGTTCATGGCAGCAGAAAACAATAAAGAGCAGAGGAGGAGCAACAGCTGTGGTGTCCATCAAGCCTCTCTCTTTTCCTTCTACAATGACTGCAAGGACAGCGCAGCTGCAAGATCAAGCTCCTCCAAAGTGAAAAAAGAGGCGCCGGGGAGATGGCTCAGTGGAATACGCACTTCCCTGGCAAGCACAAGGGCATGAGTTCAATCCCTGGTTCTGCCAAAAAAAAAAAAAAAAAAAAAAAAAGTGAAAAAAGACCAGGACTTCTCCAAAGAAGTGGGGCAATGGGCAGCAGAGAAACCTTCATCAACTGCTTTATATACACTTTTTTCCCTACATCACTCTGGAGCGGGCCCGGTTGTGCCCCAGGGTGGGCCAAATCACACCCCTGGGTGGAAGCAATTGTGCCCCAGACCCTCTCCCAGCCCCCCAACAGCACCTAGCAGATCCAGCCAAGTTGATACAAGGAATCAACCACTACACCACAAGTTTATAAAAGGATTTTCACAGTAGAGCTATAATAGCACAAGAAATAACAGCAAGAATCAGCAAAATACAACTAGAACAAATTAAAAAGCTTTTACACAGCAAAGAATCCATCAATAGAGTGGGGAGATGACCTACAGAATGGGAAACAATGTTGCCAGCTATTCCTTAGAAAGACAACTTATATCTATAATACATAAGGAACTCAAAAAAAAATACAGCACCTAAAATAAAAGACTTGGTCAAGAAATAGGCAAGTAAAAGAACAGACACTTCTTAAAGGAAGAAATACAAATGGCCAATTAGTATATGAAAAAATGTTCCAACATCTCTGGTCATATAGAAATACAAATTAAAATAATGTTAAGATTTCAACTTAGAGACCCAGTCCTAGCCCAGGTCCGGTGAGTGTGCGGAGAGTTTCCTGCTACCCTGCGCCAGCGAGACCAGTCCCAGCCCAGGCGCAGCGTGGGCCGGACCCTCTCCCACCCCCTTGGGCCGGCCCCCACCACTCCGCCCTACCTGCCCCACCCCTCCCGCCGAGTAGGAGTTTCTGACCACTTCTGGGAACCCCCAGACCCAGTCCTAGCCCAGGTCCGGTGAGTGTGTGGAGAGCTTCCTGCTACCCTGCGCAGGCGGGTCCAGTCCCAGCCCAG